GATAAATCCCCACTGACTTGCCAACTAACGTTACCCCATCTTGCAAGGACACCCCAAGACCTAAGAGTGTTTCCCCTTTCAAGCCGTGACATTTGTGCTGAAGCCACGGCTGATGCCACCAGCTTCATAGGACTCAGGCATGCTACGTGTCCCAGTATGACTTTTTAAGCTCCTTTAAAAAAATTTTATATATATATATATATATATATATAAAGTGTGAGCCAAGGCCACTACTTTGAAGACATCATTATAATACATTCTTATTGAAGTGGAGCTCAATTACCATGTTTGGTTCAGGTTAGACATTAAAAAGMATTTCTACACAGAAGGAGTAGTCAAGCGTTGGAACGGGCTGCCCAGGGAGGTGGTGGAGTCACCATCCCTGGCAGTGCTCAAGAAGCGTGTGGATGAGGCACTTAGGGACATGATTTAGCAGCCAYGTTGTTGAAGGGTTTACGGTTGGACTCGTTGATCTTCAAGGTCTTTTCCAACCATAACGAGTCCATGATTCTATATCAGACTATCTGCTACTTTTCTTCTGGCACTCAGAGAGTTAGATGTTTAGGGAACAACTGTAGAGGGAAGCACATAACAAAGTCCCTGGGGTCCTTCCTAGCTGCCAGTAGCATGGGAGGTCTCCACCAACACCAGTTCAAGGCTGGACATGCTCTGAGCCTGGCCCAACCAGCAAAGACCTCACCAAGCCCCAGAGTATGTTTGGGCATAGTGCAGAAGTCTGTCTGTGTGTGCATGCACYGGGGAGGAAGGGAGCAGCAAGGGACATATTAAATAAGGCCTATAAATAATTCTTTGGTCAAAAATATTTGTATGAAACGCTGTAAAGGAAGTCTCAATTCCTCCCTGTGACTGAGATCATTGTTAAAATAATTTTTCAAACGTTATAAAAATATTTCTACTCATGTGAGATTATTTAAAACTTAATTTTCTCTTACATTACCATTTTTGTGCTGCTTGCCATCTCCACTCCCCAAAATGGATAGAAGATSCCAGCAGCATCCCATATAGTCCAACACGAGGAGTGAAACTGCCGCAGAAGCTCCCTTCTTATGGGTTGCATGCTCCATTCCTGGTGCTCCCAGGGCACAGGATCCTGTTCGTGTGGTGGTCACTAAGCATTTCCCCCCTCTTGTGACCTGCCCAATGTTCAGCATTTCCTGACAGCCTTTTAAGTGTCTCTTCCACTAACTGGAATTATTCCCAGAATAAAAAGAAATCACGGAGAGTGTGGAGTAACCAAGAAGGAAGGAGAGGCTCTTTTCTTAAAAAATAGGGAAATATATCATTAATAGCAAGAAATAAAGCATTAATAGCAGACACTGCATTTATCAGTGAGAGTTGCCATAGCTGGCAACCCACATCTCACAGTTTGCTTCTAGATCACATCACATATGCTGAGAAGTGTCATAATCATAAGGTAGCCTAATTTACTGGTTAATTAGGTAACGGAGCCCCTCTCCTCATTAAATCCAGGCAGCGTTTCATTGAGTTAACTGTTCTTTCAAGTTTTTATATGACCAGGAGATGCAGACCTGGTTCCTAGGAAGTTTTCAGTACTTCCCAATAAGTTTGTGGGTGATATCCTTTTATAAGTGATCTGCCTGAGCCTGGAAAATATAGGTTTGGAAAATGTAGGGTTTGGAGGTGTAAAGAGGTCTTGGTATTACACAGCTGGCAGCTCCTTTTTCTAGTCTTTTCTGTAGAAACTGAAACTAAAAGAGGGACTTTTTTTCCCCCCATGCATTATCTTCAGCTCAGCTATTTTCTTCCATATCAAACTAGTGATATTAGCAGGAAGAAGTTGTGTTGTTCTGGAACTCCGGTCTTAATAYGCTTAATGTTTCTAAAGGCCTAATTTCAAAATCACATGAAGATTTAAATTAACTGGAGTCAGAGCAGTGTTTGTCAGGGAAGTATCTGACAGTGATGTGTGAAGCAAAATGTTATTGAATATGTGGAAAAACCAGGAAAAACCTGCSGTGCGGCTGCTCTCCAGCAGTTGGAGCATGCGGGGCTGCACGTGGCTCCTGTCCTCGCTCCCAGGCTGCGTTCCAAGAGGACACGTTGGCTCCGTGCCCTCTTCATAGACACGTCCATCAGCGGCAACTGTAGGGGAGCGGGTTGCACTGAAACCAGCCCCTTGCTGCAGAACAAACTGTCACTCTTTGCTTTCTAACCCCTAAATGAAACAGCTTTTCGCCATTGAAGGATAAATAGAGTGAGCAGTTTATGACTGTGAAGGCAGAGTAGACTCTATGTGTAGGTTCAAGAGGGGCTCCTTTCTGTAGAGCTCTTTGTAGGTCAGCAAAGCCCCAAGACTTAAGAAAAAAACAAGTTTAAAATTTTTATGCTATGTGAAATTCACTGAAATTCACTCATACTGAAATTTATAGCCCATGCATGCACAGCTCAGAAGTCTGGGAATAGTCCTATAATAAGGTGCCAATTTTCTACTGAAGCAGAGTTATGCTAAAAACAACTGATTTGGGGAATCCATGAGGCTTGGTGTGCTTATCCTTTAGTGAAAAATACCTAACTCTACGTGGTGTCACAGAACAAGTGTGTGGTGGGTGAGAGCCACAACGCATTTCACTCATGTGAAAGAAATAGCAATAGGTTTTATTCATAAGGACAATGATTTCACAAGATTCTACGGCAAGATCACTTCTTATTTCCTGCATGGGGTACAGGATATGCACAGAATTACCAAGGACACCCTCCCGTTGAGTCATGGGGTTCAGGTTGGAGCCCCTTGTTTTCCAGGCTCCGAGAGGAGTCCAGGTACGGCCGGATCCTGTCCTAGTCCCAGACCTGGCCAATGGTTTATGACTAAAGGATTTTGTGCACAGCTACGTCAATACAGTTTGCAATTTCAGAACGAGAGCGCGTTATAGTGACTTACCACCAGCCTGTTGTGGCCAGGATCTCTCAGCCCCCAGGGGTATCCATGTGAGGCCTCCGTGTTCCGGGGACATCCCGGCCTGCAGCCCCTGCCATGCAAGGAGAGCTCAGTGGGCTCTCAGGTCATCCCTACCTGTAGGACACGAGACGTTCTTTCATTCCAGAGGACTTGTGGCTGGTGTATGCTCAGTTAGCCTCATCTGCCCATCAGGATGCAGCCCTCAGGACTGTTATTGATGGTTAATGTTAATGTCTGAGTGGGGGAAGAAACCAGGGAGGCAACCGCCAGGATCAGATAATGTCTATTGAATAGGGCTTCGTGTGGGAAGGCAGGTGGAGCTGGGGCAGGAGCACATCCATCACAYGTGGGCAGAGCAGCAGACAGGCGGGGGGAAGGTCTGTAACCTACAGCAGCGCTTCTCTTTAGCGCAGGAAAACAGGAGCCGACTACAGCAGCCCTCAGCCGCATTTACTCTGCTCTCTACGTGCTGCCCATCCAGCGAGCTGCATTTTTAGGGGCCCCACAGCCTTCCTTAGCCTCAGGATATGAATTCTACTAATTATTTTTGTTCTGGGAGGTTGAGCACGAGCTTCCTCCGGATGCACGAGCAGGAGTGGGCAGCCTTAGTGCTGCTGCGGGGGACGAGGGGGCAGCCCCGTGAGCAGAGGACCGGCGATGAACAACTTGTTTTCTTGAGCCTGCAGGCAGCAGAGTCAACCAGGGGTCCTCCCAACTTGTCACCACAGCCACCACTCTCCACGGAGAGACGAGATGCTCCATTCCCACCAGCTAGTGCTGCGCTCAGGAGACTCCTACGGAGAACCAAACTCCAAAACACGCCGCAAATTAACCAGCCACACAGGAAAATTTCAGACAGCTCCTGCAAAGCAAACCGACTTGGAACCAAAGTAGCTCCAGACCTCCGTCATGAAAGGAAAGCAAACAACTTGGATATTCTATAATTTATTACTGTTGCTAGGATGAACACAGATACTTGATATCCAATTGTATGCAGAACTGTAAAAAAATATTTTTAATACAGTATCAAAATTTACACAAGTGTAGTGTCAAAAGACCAGTGTCCCTCAAATTAGCCCCTGCACGTATGTCCTGCAGGCACAAGTACGTGTTTTACATTTTCATACATATATATATAGATAGCTAGATATATAGGAATACAACAATTTAAGTTTAGCTATGCAAACAATATGTTATGGGAGAAAACAACAGGTAATAGACAACTGTTTAGGAGGTCATATATCAGAAATATGCTAAGACTGCAGTGTTTCCAAATAAAAGGCCAGATTCTGCATTCCTAACTCGAGGTAAATAGGTTTATCTGAGAAAGTAATGCTGAATCGGGGCTTTACGTCAAACGGTACCAAGTAAAAATAACAACAGAATCCAATATAATCACTGCTGCAAATTAACACGCTGTGTTTTTCTGAAGACATCGGATTTTACATCATACTATTATATAACAAAAGATTGTACAGCAACCGAGCTACGTTCCACTACAAAGAGTCCACTAATACGGCAGGTTACAAGCGCAGAGAAAACAGGATCCTGACTTTGGCTCCAATCTCAGTAATCAAGAACAAACCAGAAATCGGGGGATTGTTGCATTCCTATTTTATTTTTTATTTAATTTGTTGATGCTCAGCTATGGTAAAAAGTTAAGAGCATTCAGTCACAAGCCCGATTCACATTCATACAAGAAAACTATCATTGCTTTTCGATATACACAAAATATCTATCATTGCAATTCAATACACACAACTAATATCATACACGTAAGGGGGGAAAAAAAATAAACTAAGCACGTCTAGGGCACCTTCTGGTCCAACCTCAGGCAATGTGAACAAGAGCTTTTTGTCTTATAATAATGAAAGACATGCTCTGAGTTAATAAAACCCTYTTCTTTGAAAGAATGCTACAGTAACGAGAAAAGCTTTTTTCATAACGCAGTGCAATCTTTTAGATTCTTACAGCTTTGTTAAATAAAACAGCACGCCTCTAAATTAAACAGCAGAAATTACCATCCTGACAATTGGAAAATACTTTCAGGGGAAAAAAAAAAAAAAAAAAACTTTGGTGGAAATTCAGATTGGAGACCTTTATTAAGGTAATATTTTGTTCATTAAAGGGTTGTGAATCTCTTACATGTCTTCAGAAGATTTGTATCAAAATGAATTGAAAAGAAAGCTAATTTCACTTTCATTTAGAAAGAAACTATGTTTTACTACAAGTACTGTAGTTTTGCTACACTACTGGCTTGTTAGGAGACTTTATGGTCTTTTAGCACCTCAAAWTGCAAATATTCTAATAAAACAAAAAATTCAGCTGGAAATTGCCTAAGCACCATTAACGGATACTTTACAGACTGAAGAGTATGTTACTAAGCAAGGGACTTTCTCAGAACTGTGGAGACCAAAGGCACAGCTTATCGAGGTCTCGCCAGTCTGGTGAAGAATTTTAGTTAAATCTGATGGAAAATTCATCCAGACTTACCGGAGATTCACTGTAACTATCCAAAATAATAATTTATTTCATGTAACTCCCGCGGAATCCCAGTCAATCCCGATAGGAATGGGACTACCTCAATGCTTCTAAATGCGGAGTGTTTCAATGACGGCGTGGGTCACTGGTCAGTATACTGAAAGAGCAGTATACGAGGGACACGGAAAAACCTATCTCATCTGAAAGATCTCCATGTAGAATCTCTCCTAGCTCCCAACCAAGTCTCCTGCAGTGCATGTAGACAACCCCTTGTCGGATGGAAAGTCACTGTGGATACAGTCGCTTCTTTCTTATCTCTCACCGGCAGGTCAAGCTCTTTCTCCTCAGAGAGGGGACTTGCTCAGGTCCTTTTACATAGGTCCTTTATATTGATTTCCTGACAAATGTTGTCTAATTCCAGGGCACGACCCTGCAGCATCTCCAAGTTTCCTCCACACAACCTAAAGGCAGGGATAGAAAGAGATATCAGTATCAACAGTTGAGAGGCATCTGTGCTCACACATACATGCACTGGGAGATCCCACACGTTCCTTACGTGTACCATGCAGCACAGGTATGGACAGAGAGGCAGGGACAGGACACAGGAGAAGAGAGTATTTCTCAAAGGACAAAACATTCCTTTKGAACACAGAAAGCACATGCTGCTAGGTAAAAATGATTAAATATGGAGACAAATGAACTGGCTCGTGCATCACTAGGATATTTCACGCTTTGGATAAAAGACAGGACATTTGCAAGCCTCAGCAGAAGCCCTTTGTTCCAAYATTTCCCAAACCACATCTCTTCCAGAACTAGTTTCAGAAGCACATAGAGAAGCATAAACATTTTTAATGTTAAAAGCACATAGCTCATCTCTAGAAACATTTAAAATCAAGTCAGGTGCAAGTATTTGTTTTCATGGCTTTTATTTGTCCTTGATATCAGTAGGATTGTGCATATAATTACTCTTCTATATATGCTTGTGGTTTTTGCTGAACCAGAGCCATGTGCAATTTGGTTAAAATTCTCAAACTTTTTTACACTGTGGACTACACACTCAAAAAGATTTCTTTCCTCATACTCACATCTACTCCCATTCATGATTCCAAAACATCCATGACACAATTATGGAATTCAAAACACAGAAAAATATCAACGAAAAGAATTTAAGAATGGGTCTTACAATGACTTACAAAAAAGGATTGGCCGGTTAGAAACAGGAGAATCAGTTGTCTCTGTCATATTACCATAGCCTCTCTTCAAGGAGCCACCAGAAACAGATTGATGGATCACCACCACATTGTGAATTAGAATTTCAGTTTCCATATACTTAATAATAACCAACTGAAGTCAATTAAGCTATAACTAGTACTAAGCCACCCAATCACTGGAGCAACACTGGTCCAACTGTAGAGAAAAGCAGAAATGTTTTCCACCGTTCTTATTTACTATCTGTATTTTGACACTGCCTGAAGTAGGCAAACATGGAAAGCACGGAAAAAAGAAACACTCCAAGGCTGGAAGCAATAAGACTACAATCTGGCAACCATGGCAAATGGAGCAAACTAAATTGCAAAGCATTGAAAGTACCTCTCTTCAGGACTATTCCATAGGCCTACCCAAAACTGATTCCCTGCAAAATTTCCATATGACAAGCAACTTGCACCCTGAAGCCACCTATAATTTGAAGGCAAATGATGGAACGAACTAAGTAGCTTCCAGTAATGTTACCCTCATGGTAACACCAAAAAGCATACCAATAAAAACCTCTGTATTTTAGCTGTTCACTGTAAAACATTATGAAATACTGTGAAGTGGCAAATGCATTATGTTTGTTTTTCAGTAAAATCTCCTGAAACAATTATGACTGAGTCATCAGAAATGGTGGAGGGCTAGATTTGATGACATAGATGTCATCAAATGACACGGACGTTTCTTTCCCACATTTTGTTGCTGACGTTATTAACTTAATATTATCAAAACATAAAGGCCCACTGTACAGATATGCCATTCAACAATTTTCTGGTCAATGAACATTAGATAATATTTACCTAGCAGCCAATGCTGACACTGTAATAAACTGCAAGGTGACACTTTTCAGAGACCCTCATCTCCAGCTGAGCAAATGACCTCTGGTTGACAAGAAGGGACAAGCAGAGAGTCCTAAATGTCCTATGTCCTCAACACAACTGACAAGGTGGAGGTGGAAAAGAATATTCATCCCACTTTTCTGGGTAGGAAGCTGAGGCAGAATCCACTTTTCCACACCATCCCACGTGCCTCCAGCTGTGGAGGACGAGTGGTGCATGGGCTGTGCTTGCAGTCTTGGTGCCAGCCCACACTGCAGCTCGTTTTTGGTCTATGGGAATCGTTCAGCACTTCCAGGAGTCGGGATTTCCAGACCAATGGCAGTCCCAGGGTGGTAACCGCCAGCCCACGGTGATGCTTTCTAACGGGATAGGATATGATAAACTCAAAGCGTGAACCACAMAGCCACTGGGAGGGACAGTAACCTCGACCAGCAACAGCCTCTGCGCAGGGTGCCGTGCAGAGAGGCTCCTCTCCAGGGCATCGCACTGATTTCCTTTGAATGGGCTGAGAGGGACCAGTACCTGCAGACTGCTCACCAAACTCTCCCATATATATGTCTCCTCCTGGACATATACAGGGCTTTGCAGGGTCATGGTAACTGCACATATTGCTGCCTCCTGCACATACTTTTATTTGGCCCTATGCATCACATACCTGTTTTGTATTTGCATATAAAAGAATTGCTTTCTTGTCAATTCAGCATTTCAACACTGAAAAAGTTGTCATAACTGSAACTAAATGAATCGCTTTGTGTTTGCAAGTACTTAAGAGAAAACATAAAAGTTAAAACATTCCTGCACGTTTTATAAATCATTACAACAGAGTAAAAAACCCAGTACCAAAGACTTCACTCAAAATTTCACAGGAAACTTTGGCTGAATAAAGGGCAGCTAGAAGGTCATGACAGAGTCATGAAGATTGATTTCCAGCTTTTTTTCCAACACAGGGAAGTGAAAGGATGGAGAAGTATTTTCCCTCTAAGCCAGGGCAAAACTTGCAGCCTATCTGCAGACCAGAGCAGCTGCATCATCTGCAGGCACCTGTGCACAAAACTTAATGGTAATCTGGAAAAAAGATCAGCAAGACCAAAACCTCTCTTTACTGATTCCAAGAGTTTTGGTGCTTTGAAATTACCTCAACACTACTTAMTATATGCAAAGCTATCTCTAAGCCTGCTGATCCATTCTGGCTGGTTTCTCCTGTGACAATGCAAGTACATAAGTGAAAGGAAAAACTTGCCAAATATGTCGGTGCTGAAGTGGCATAATCATCATATACACATCCTGAGAGAGACGTGACAGAATCCCCTTCCCAAAATGTAGAAACATATATTGTAGGACATAAATTGTACATCTAAATCACATTTCAGGAGCAATCAAAACTACGCACCAAAACTAAAAAACCCGAAATCCAGACTGGTCATCATTCTGCTCTTCCAAAGGCAACCTGATGCCAGGGCAAATGTTTCATGTGAAAAAGAAAACCAAACCCTCCTATATATAAGGCTGGAGCAAAACAGTGAGCAATAAGACAKAAGAAAATTCAAATTAATTAATCACTAATGAATCCACTGTGCTTTTAATATGGAATAGGTGTATTTAAGGAGGAGAGAAACAAGCAATTATTTTAAAGGTAAAATAATGTAGCAATTGTCAAATCGGACCTAGATCACAGAAGGCAGAAGAAGGGGTAGCATTTCAATGCTAGTGGCAGAACTCTGAATGACTGGGGAGCAAAAAAGAGACAAGGCAGAAGACAAGGATAGACTTGGGATTTACAAAAATAATTTGATAATGTCAAGTACAGTAAATTAGCATTTTAGAAGTGGTATTACTTAAATCCTGGGAAATGTTATGTTCGCCATTAAACATTTATTAGTTAGAAACTGTTTTTTATCCATAAAATGCAAAGCAATGATATAGGCMAGAAAATATGAAGATACTATTACACAAATGGGGAAACTGAGACTGCAAAACCTTAGCATTCTTGTCAAATTTTATTCTTAACAGTGATAAAATTCAAGTCAGCTGGCTCACACAGCATTTTACTCAATATATGTATATTATCACATACAGAATTTTCTGATTGACACTGATCAACACGTTTAAATTTCAATATTGATAATAAGAAACAGTAACTGCAATACGGAAACACAACTGAGTTAACTTCCATATTTCAAGGGCATGTTGACTATCAGCCTTTAAGCAAAATTGGACTTTGCATCTTCAGGTGCTTTCAGGCTCAATAGGGAATACAAAATTAAACACCTTAAACTTACACTGTGCATTTCTTCAGCCACAGCTTTTTGTGCCTTACTAAGGTAGTGGTGCAAGTCTTTAACAGCCAGCTGATTCACACTTTCCTKAGCTTCCAAGACAAAAAGGAGATTTTATTTTATAAATGGAATTTGTTTTTCAACCACCAATAAGAACAGTAATATATATTTAACCTTTCACAGGTGTTTTCTGAGTACGGGCACACATATATAATTGAACCCTTAGATTTAAAGATAACGAGGCTGATAACAGTGCTTACGATTTCAGGGCAGGCAGGATCATTCAATCTTCTTGCCTGACCTCCTGGGTATCACAGACCATACTCTGCTATGCAGCAGCTCCTATGCAGAGCCTCAGACCCTTTCTGATTAAAGCTTATCTTGCTTTAACTTGTAGATGGCTCAGTAAGGCTTCCAAGAGGCTGTACTGAACTTGGGATGGGAAAACCTGATGCAAGGGTCTTGGGCAAGTTCATGTCCTTAGTTACTTAGGCAGACTAGATGATGACTTTACATCACACTGAATTAAATCCTACGTGCATCTTATCAATCAATTCCAGCAATGAAGGAATTTCAAACACCTTCTTATACTAACCAGCTATTACAGGTTGTCAAAAACATATTGGCAATTGTTCACTTGATAGACTGTCTTTTTCTAGAGGTATTTTGAGAGAGCTACAAAAGGCTTATTTGGAAAACACCTGTGTCCTCTTGATTAAATTACTTGGCAAAGTTTTACATTCTAGACAGCAGCAAGTGAAACACAAGGCAGGTCCCTGAGCACTGCTGAAGAAGCAGGTGCTCCCCACTGGTTTGCTCCATCTCCACACAAGGTCGGTGACAGCAGCACTTTATCGGGGGGCCGGGTGTCAGTGGTGACTGAGGTGCTAAGTGAGGGCCCTGCAATCASGTGCAGACACGGAGGGTTCCTGCACTCTGCTGCTTACACAGGTCATGTTCCAGAGAAAGAGCCGCAAGGCGTCTGCAGTGAAGCCCTGTGCCCTGGTTTTATGTTACAGGAAGGGATCTGATTGCTCTAATTCCTGCATATATCACTTGCACAAACCCATTTTCAAGGGCTTCATGGAGAAGCCAATGTCACCCGGTCAGTGTCACCACGTGGGAGATACTCACCTCCAAACAAACTTGTTGCCTAGGCAAGTTGATGGCACCACTGAGCTGCTGCAGTGCTCTGTGTGTCTCCAAGAAGGATCCCGCAAATCCAGAGCAAACACTTAACAAAGGTCCCTTCCAATTCCACCCAGAGGAAGGAGTGCCAACCTAGGCCCTTCAAGTAGTCAGTGTATCCCTAAGACATCTCCACAGATGGGAAAACATTTAACAGAGCAAATTTTAAACCAGATCAGTTAATGAGCTAAGTACAGGAGAGAGTGGCGTACACAAAGCAACAGAAAAGAGTCACGTTACAGGAGCATGGAGTACCTGTTCTTTGCTTGGGTCTCCTTAAGCGTCTACCTCTGCCCAGAGAAGTGCTGACACAGCTGATGCACACACTGTCATTGGGACACCCGAACTCAGCTGGGTATTGACTGAGACCAGTCAATGGGTTAGCAGTGGCAGAAGTTGCACCTCTCTGATTGCTCGTGACAACTGCTGCTGGTCAATGCAATGTAGGTCTTTGCAGCCCAACCCCGAGCTCCACAATAAATCACGTTTGCTCTCACAAAGGTTTCCACAGCAACGTTGGGGTCATTACGCATTATCTTCAGAGCAAAATTCAGATATTTCTTGTACCATGCCTATCGGCTTCATCTTGCATTAAGGTACTTCTCTCTATATAGGTTATGGCAATCCATTATACTTCACTGGAGAACAAATATGCAYCCCACTGAAGTAGAAAAACTTGTTTCTAGAGAAAAACACTCCTTTCTCTTCTTTGAGAGAAAATATGTACAATTACAAGAGAAGCTACAGCTGGCATCACACCCATCATAAGGAACATGTGGTCCCTGCCCCAAAGAACACACAGCCCACAGATGCAATGAGTGACAAACAGAAAAAAAACAATACTGTTCATGACAATAACATTCCAGTGATGTGTGCAGGAATGTTCTCAGGACAGTAAGACATGTATTGAGTAACATACATGACATTCTGCATGTACTGCACGGGAGGACAGTTACCTTAAGAGCATTTACCACTGATTCAGACTGCTGAGAAGTTGAGCCATGTCCAGTGATGTTAGATGGCTCGTTTGGAGAGCAGTAACTCCCCTCCGCCCCTGCTGGCATCCTATTGGGATCCTTCATAAAAAATTAAAGACTATTTAATAAGGAAAAGGGTTGGAAACTAATTAAAACAGATGTCACCTCAAGAAAATAAATAATATAAAAAAAAACAAGCAGTGAAGGAATGTCCCACTCAAAGTCACCCTAGGCAGCTTAGGCGTTACTGTTAGCACTGCTGCAATCAAAGGATGCTCCTTTGATTCCTCCTGCTTCCTGACAGAGCAGTCATTAAAGCACTGAGCAGGGCAGGGTAGGAGGGCCCCTGTGCAGCTCTGTGACCAGCCCCACACTCTGCAAGGCCCTGGGCAGGGGCCTCTCTGCGAAGGGCMAGCTCTGCCCAGGAGTCTGCTGAAGTATCAGGGACATCACGTCAGCCCAAGGGCTCTGAGCCTCAAGAGCCCTCAAATTGGGACATAAAGATATTTGGCAATGTTGCCCTGCAAAACTGCTGTGAGGCTCAGAGGGAGGCAGTATTTACTCCAAAGGAAGGTTTGGAGAATGCCTCGCTTTATCTCAGCAGGTTCTGGAGCTGTTTCCTTCAATAAAATTAGAGCTTTTTTTCTGCTCCTGGGCAAGGTTTGCAATGTAAGCGACCGGGACCCACCAGGCAAGGTGCACGGAGAGGCCGTGAGTGCCCTTCCCCGATCAGGTTGCCCACAAAACAGGGGCACTTCCCCCTTTGCTCATGCAGTCCATGGGCTGAGCCCTGCCTCAGGCACTGCAGGAGAAAGGGAAAGGAGGAGAAGCGGTGGCTTGAAAAAGTGATACTGTAGCAATGGGCTCATATGAAAGCACGGAAGGGTTTGCTCTGCAGCACTGCACTGTGCCTTGTAGACACAGAGCGGCCAAAACCACAGGGAATGGGTCGGCCCAGAATACCTGGAAAGCCAGGGAACAGGGTGGGCAGTCTGCAGAGGTTGCTTTAATTCGGGAGATCTTAATCCTGCTGCCGCCAGGTGGGAGGTGCAGGACAAATCCTCACCCTGTACCTCTTTTTCCTGCACCATCTCATCTATCACTGGTGTCCAGCAGGATTTCCCTCCATCCAAGCCTCATCCCCCAAGGACCTAACGCGGGACATGGGTGCCGCCGCCATCCCCGCAGCGAGCGATGGTGCTTTGCACCCAGCGCTGAGGAGCAGGAGCGCGGCCTCCTGCCAGCGAGCGCTTTGCCACGTCAACACAAACACCCCAACGTCCCGTCGCCCGCAGCTCCCAGCTTCCCAACCTGCAGCACCTAAAGGGTTCCCTGGAGTYGCTGCTGAGGAGCACAGGGCACGAGGGAACCTCATCTCGCAGCCTCCTTCGGAGGGAGGCTCCAAACAGGCCGCTGCGCTCCCGACGGCCCGAGCAGGCACGGCTGGCTTCCCTCAACCCGACCTGTTCTCTCAATCTGATCCTTCGCTGTCATTCCTCATGCAGAATTTTGTTTAGAAAGTAGGACAAGTAAGGGGGAAACAAGCCAGACATTTCAAAGAGGGTGATAAAGGGAAAAGCTCCTTTCCTACAGGATTAGAAATGCCGTAGGAAACATTAAAGGTAACATCACAGCAATTCCTGTTGGAATGTGTGGAATGCCTTTCTGAAGGAAAAAAATAATGACAGTGGTAAGCTCCTCTGAGCAGAATCGGGGCCCTGATGTGCACTAATCCTCCCTACTGTGCAAGGCTTTTGGGGGTGTCTGTAGTGCAAACAACAGAAAAAATGAAGGTGAGAGGAAAAGGGCACAGGGAGACGGCATGCAGCTGAATTCCACAGATCCAATCTGCCTGAAAAATACCWAAAGGTGGTCCGGACCAAAGAAAGTTGCATAACTTCACCAGAATATGCCAAATCCATCGGCAATAAGCAATGCTGCACTGGTCATACTAGTGCCAATGGGTAAATGATGACGTGCAGCGCAAGGGACAGAGAACGGTTGTCATCGCTGCACATGTTAGACCTGACCCACACTGCAGGAGTGAACCCCACACACTGAAAAAAATAACATAAAATAAAATAAAATAAAATAAAATAAAATAAAATAAAATAAAATAAAATAAAATAAAATAAAATAAAATAAAATAAAATAAAATAAAAAGACAACCCTAAAAGCAATTCAAAAGTGAACATTGCATACACCAGGCCCACAGAAAAGATGTCCTGAGCCTGAATGCATAAGACAGATGTATAGATGAAAAGATATCCGGAGCCTTTTTGGTACACAAGCTTGTCTTCAAGTCCCCTGTCCTGTCAAGGAAGGGGTACCAAGGAACCTAAGCAGGTGTGGACAGCAATGTGCCTCCTAGGAAGAGTGTCGGCACTGCACACATTTAAGGCAATGTGCAGTCCATCATTCTACCCTTCTCCACAGCAACAACTATTATCAATTCGCTGTGATGCATGGAAGAAGATTTAAGACTTATTTTTCTTTGAGAAGGATTTATAGACCTGTTAGTCGCTGGGCAGGCTTAATGCTACACTTTGGAAAAGGAAATGAAAGAGGAAGGAAAAGGGGTAATAAAGAAGATTGGAGCAATTCTGATTTAGGACAAGTTCTCCCTGTCAGTCTTGTTTCTTCTACTCCAGGGCCAGCATTGATTTGGGCCAATTTCAAGCAGTAAAATACAAACAGTGCTAACAAAAGGCAGGCAAAATTAGTTCAGATCCCTCTAAAGCTTCCTGAATATGAGAAAATCTGAATGTCCTGTGAATTGTGCCATTGTCGGGGCTCAGCCTTCCTCCAGGCAGCTTTCTGCCACAGCTGCTTCTGCGCCATTCGCAGCACATTTCTGCCTCCCTTCATGACAATGAGAAACTTGTTGTGAACATTCGTTGCTTTAAGCAGACAGTGTTCTCAACACATGCTAGTAGAAGAGTGAAAATTAGTATTTCCCCTGTGGGCTTCCTTCTCCCTCCACCTCCTCCTGTACTTTAGAAGAGAAAGAAGCTTTTCTTAAAAATTAAACCAAGGTTTGCAGCGCTTAATCCCCATCCTCCTGGCTTTGGGACTTCTCATGAGCTCCCCTAGTTTTACATCCTAAGAGCAGAATCTGCAGGAGACASTGTGCTCCTGTTGTACCTAAAAACAGGTAGGATGAACCAGGGCCACAGTGCCAGAGCGAGTGCCACTGGGTTGATGTCACAGAGAAACACTAGGAAAGGACTGGGAAGTGCCTGGGAACTTTGGGATAGGTCTTAACCCAGTAAATGGCTGTTCTTAACTGCGTCTTAACCCAGTAAATGGTTATTTTAAGAAGCCTCATTTTGGCATATACATTTCAAGACTCCTTGCAGAAATCTGATCCTAYTTAAAAAAACTCAAGCTAAACCTGCTTGTCTTAAAATCATGGCAAATGAAAACACTAGCTAATGTCTCAAAACATTACAGATTTTTAAAATGCCTAATCTGAATTAAAGAGGGATGAATGTCTTTCCACTCAAGGGAATGGAGGATAATTTTGCATTACCCTCCCCTTTTGCATGGGGCACCTGTCATTGGGAAGGGCCTGAATCACACAGGAATAAAGACAGAAGATTTACTTCTGAGCAAGACTTGAGACAAACATACTCAGGCCAGGCCACTCTACAAGAGCAGCTTCTGCCTTCTTTGGAGGCAGCTTATTCCAGCCTCTGGAGGAGATGGAGGACTGGGCCACTCTCAACACGGGCCTGTTCTTCCTCAGCAAGTCCTGCGAGCCTAAAGATGCCTCACTCCTATTCACTCCCTGATGAGTTTGCCATGCAGTAAAGCAAAACCAGRGGACGAAACGTTCTTCCAAAAGCGGTGACATCTGCAAACAAGACGCCTGACGAGACCAGAAAAGTTTGTTTCTCAGACCTACGATCACAGCAGCTGCTTGACAGCGGGGAGTCTGGCAATGTTTATCCTTTCACCATAAGGTGACCTGCTTTTCTCTCCACTGGGTCCCTTTCCCACCACTGCCAGACCAAGGCTGATAGATTATAACCGCATCCTGGGAAAGAACTTCAGGAAGGGAGGAGGATTCCCCGGTCCCTTTCTTCTCTGAGGCCACACTGCGCACTTCTATTCAGTCACTCACAATGGGCATCCCATGCGTCCTCGTGTCTGGGACATGCCTTTTCATTTATTATCCAGTAACCAAGCTGCAGACATAGAAACAAATCAAACAGAAGGGATAAAGACTTGGCTCCACATAGCAGTGCTGAAATCTGCATTAATTTTAAACGTTTTGAGCCATTTTGAGTAAATGCAACTGCCCACAGTTGAGAGGTGATGAAGAATTGACTTTCCCCTTCATCCTACACTGGCAGCCTTCCCTACTGCCCCTGCGTAGCCCACCTGCCCAAGCTCCTGCATCTTCTGCAGATGGGATTCTCCGGGTCAAGTGCTTTCTGGGGCTAAATCATAGAGCTGCAGCAAGAACACTGCCTGAAGGAGGCAAAACACACCTAATACTCCCTGTATATATTGCCACAAAGATAGAGGYGCGCAACTACTAAATACCCAGATCTATTTTCTGTTGTAAGTAAATCCATAAAATAGCTAATTCTAATAGCAATAAGCAACTCTTTAGTGAAGAGAAAGCACAGGAAAGCTGCCTGGAGCCCACAGACTGCTTAACAAAAAAACACAGATGAATGGGAATTTAGTATCTCCCTTTCTTTGGCTGCAAAATTTGGGCCGTTCTCCCCCAGTGCCAGCAGCAAATGCTGCACTGTGCCCAGGCAGAACAAGGATTCTCTTTGATGCAGAAAGCTAATCAGGAGCTTTTGTGCCAGCAGAAAACATTGTTTTCTTCTATTTGTATATGACAAGGATAGCCATGAATGAAAACCACTGCAGCACAAAGCAAAGCACGCTGCATAACTCAGGTTACACTCAGCTAATCCACAGTTACACTCAGCTTATCSGCAAGCTTCCCTTGCAGGGAGCTTCCTGCATGACCTGCCCTCTCCCTGCTCCGTGCAGGAATAGCCGAGGAGCAGGAGACACGCAGGACATCCGTGTCCTGAGGAGAGCAGCAGCCACCTCCACAGCCACACACTAGTGGC